ATTCAATTCAAAAATATGATAGAACTGGCCAATACTTGATATAACATATTCAAAAATACAAACTTTAATGCGAGATTTCCACTTGGCAGTTTATAAATTCGCGACACGTGTTTCGCTACACAATAGCATCTTCGGGCATCACATATTGTGACGCCAGAAGAGTCACATATTGTGACGCCCAAAGCGTCACATATTGTGACGCCCAAAGCGTCATATATTGTGACGCCCAAAGCGTCACATATTGTGACGCCCGAAGCGTCACAATAGCTTTAAGGTGGAAATGTTACATTAAAGTGTATTTTTGGAATACAGTATTCAAATCTTTCAAATTACATAGTTTCACTCATAAAAAATTAGAAAAAAAGTTTCAATATGACTTGCAGTTTCAAATTTCATTTTCTACTATAAGTTTGCTTTTTATATCCCAAAGACAAATGATGAATTCACTTAATGTTATGGTTAACAGGTTTTTAATTTGATTTGGAAATACTCTAGTGTCTGGGATAGAATAAAAATGTATTCTGCTTATCTAGTCAACTTATCAGCCTCATACTAATCAGAAGATTCACAGTGCCTTCCAGGAACTTGTCGTATAAAGGTCTAAGTAAGACAAATAAACCATTCTACCTCAACGCTAAAACACTCGACCCCCAAGATAAATCTCTACTTTCAAAGGAGCAGCGCGAAGGAAAGCAAAATCCAGTACGATCCGCACTAAAATACAATTTGATTCCTCGCCATCTCAACGTAGAAAAAACCGAAGAGATGCAGCTACCACTTTGTTAATTTGCCCCAGCTCCAATTCTTTCCCATTACGAAGCATTCGACTATTGCACTGTTCAGTTGCGGTGCAATCGCAAGAAAGAGATCTAAAAAACTGCAGCTGAACAATGCAACTAGCAAATCCTTCAAGTATCAGTTCGTGACGGATGAACAATTACAGTAACATCATAATTTTCCGCTACATTATAAAAACAATATATTTAATAATTTTTAGTCGGTAAGATTACAATGAATACTTTACAATGTAGCACGTTTTTTTTCGAGGCCCAATAAAAACTTATTTACAGTGATTTCTGAAACGCAAAACTCGCATTCGAATCTTACAACCGTCCCGGAGCGGACTATACCGACATCACCGTACTCACTTATATCGTATCCGATTTGTATATTACAATCTATAAATACAGCCTGACTTGCACACACTCGCACAATTCATACGTTTCTAGCATTCTTTATAGGGGGTGCGCCTGTTTTGTGAGCGGCCCTGGCCCCCTTTTTAATATTTTTTGTTATTTCATATTTTATACAATATCCGTTAAAACGATGTGTAGATAAAGTAAATAATAATTCGTATATGCTCACTTATAATAAAATTTAGATTTTATATATAAAATTTATTTTGTTCAAACTTGCATTTGCTGTAATAACCCAAATTGAGGAACATTCCCCATTGAAAAACTTTCAACTTTATTTCGAATATCAATGAATTATTACATAAGTTTGAAGAATGTATAGAGGAGAAATACATACGTATAAGAAAACAAATATTTCGACATAAAATCTCCAAACAATCATCTATCCCAACTACCTACTCCCTAGGTTCTGGTAAATGCCTGCTGGATGGCAACTACTTCCCCGGACGAAGGTTTCATACATGGAGTCGACACATGAGAGGTATTACCTTAAAAACCGGTCTCAAGATGATCTACTCAAATAATTTCAGTATGTGTCCGCATGTATGAAATCTTTGTCCGGGAAGTAGTTGTCATCCAGAACCTTCGGTGTAGGTAGTTGGGAGAGATGAATATCTCAAGATTTTACTTTGAAATATTTTTCTTATATGAATTATTATATGTTCTTTCCTCAAATGATCAGTGAGTTTTTCGAATATTTTCATTCCAATGTATTCGGGGGCACATGAAATAACTTTCGATCTTTCACATGGCACATAAAATTTATATTTTATTCTAGTGTGACGGTGATTTGAAAAAAACAGTTTGTTTATGAATGCATAAGTATATCAACTGCGACTCTTGAGAAATGATCCCTCAAAGCCCAGAACATCCAGAATATTACAAGGTGGTATGTCTAGTGGGGTTCAATGGCTAATGGACCCCACTAGATATATTACCTTGTATCCTTCTGGATGTTCTGGCCTGCCAGGTCCAATTAGGTCTCTCAGAGTCGATAGGGAGCTATGAGGGATCATTTCTCAAGAGTCGTAAGGGGCTGCGAGGAAACTGCGGTCACTGAAATATTTGAAAACATAAATACATATTTCAAGATATAATAAAATATGTCTGCGTGATTCTCAGCTTGAGACATTTGCAATACAAGTCGAATTTTTTTTGAGCAACGAAACGAGTCATGGATGACCTAACTCCAGGAGCAGACACCATAAATCACTCTTGAATCAACCTCAGCGTAATAGATGCTCAGTAGTTGAGTCGTGGTTTGAACTGTTCTCAGATTCATGAAAAGAAATTTCATTGAGTTCAACATAGAAACTAAATGTTGATTATGAGCATTCTAATTCGAGCCTTCGTCAAGGGGAATTCCCAGGAAATTAACTCTTTTATTGATTTTTGAATGTCACATTATCAGCAATGAAACTGAAGTCTTTTATTCTATTCAGTCTAATGTGAAAGCGAATAATACCTATTTTTTCTGATGTTATCACTGAAAAAATCTGATATCTGTCCAACTGCAGAAGCACATTCATTTTAATGTTTTCTCATCTGGTGCTGAGATATAATTATATAAAGTTCATTAGTAGAAGCCTTATGAAGAATTCCAGTAATAACAGAATCTATATTGTTCACATACAAAATAAACAGAATTGAGACCAGAAAAGATCCCTGCGGCACACCCATACCTGTGCTAGAAGATTCAGAATGTTTTCTAGGGATTTTGTTATTTATAGTAACATGTAGACACAACATATTGGTTCCCACCTTCATGAAATGAGGATATCCAGCTGAGAGAGACCTCTCAGCCCCAATACATCAGATCACTTCATTATATAATGAAAAGATTGCCGTATTTATTGACTTTCTTGCACGAAACCCATGCTGCATATCCGTCAATATATTGTGTGTATTTAAAAATGAAGTAAGTCGGTCTAAAAATGCATATTCGAATATTTCCATTCGAATTTCATAAAAAAATAATAAAAAACACTTTTGTCTAATTTCCACTAGTTAATTTTATTTACACGACCAGTTTCAGGTTCAACCCCATTATCAAGTATTATTTTTAATCTTGATAATGACGTATCTAGCTGTTATAAATCCTCAAATATCAATGTCTTTAAAAGGCGACTCAAGATTTTTCTATTGCAAAAAGCATACTATTATGTGGATGAGTTTCTCCTTGAATCCTAATTTGATTGTAGCTTATTAACATTTTTTTATGTATGTTTTATACTGCCTTTTTTATGTTTGTTTGACCTGTTGAATCAGCCTGTATTTTATGGTGATGTTATGTTTTTGTCTGTGATTGTGAAGGAAAACTGATTCAATAAATGTTTGATTGATTGATTGCCTGATATTAAATTTGTTTTCAAAAGGTAATACGCTACACAAATCAAAGATGAGTTGGATTGTGTGTATGCATATTCTGCCTAATCATTTATCACCGTGAAATTTTGGGCAGCTGAATTTGAATGTGGCTGTAAAAGCTTTGGGAATGATGAACGTTAGGAAAGTTCAAACACCGCAACTACCAAATGGTGCTATTGCGTACCTTTAGGTACCGCGTTTGCTCCCGTTAGACCAAAAACGTGTTCCAACTCTCTGTTGGCGCAATTTAGGCTCAACTGGATACACCATTATACGCCCGAAACAAAAATACAGTCCAAACAGTGGACTGCAAAAGGGGAACCACCTTAAAAAAAAAAAAGCAAAAACTGGCTTTTTGCCTCGGAAAGAGATGGCGACTGTTTTTTTGGAATAGTCATGAAGTTATTTTAATCGATTATATTCACTGAAAAAAATCCATCACAGGACCATACTACGCATCATTACTTGACAAGCTGAAGGCAAAACTTGCGAAAAAACGGCCACATATGGAAGGACAACAAATCCTTTTTTTAAAGATTTACGAAGGTTCTCTTCAAATTTATGTTTCCTGATTAACTCATTCACTAAAGTTCAAAAATACCCTTAGCTCATAATTGTGTCCTGAAAAATGTATCGGTCACACTAAACCAGCATTAAAATTCATTTTAAAAAACACGCGATTTAGAAAACTAGAAAAATCTAGTGTCGCACAACTTTTACGAGAAAATTGACCACAAATTTCTATCCGAACTTATTGATATTTATTGTAAAGTGATATTGCACCTTGTTAGATATAAATAGAAACCAATTTTAGAGTTAGGGATGAGTGTGATTAGAAAAAGTGCTTGTTTCAGATTTATTCTACGCCAAAGGTTCAAGTTTCATCTTTTATATATAAAACAAATCCTTATTTCTGTAGAAAAAAAATTTATAAGGTGTGCAGAATTATTATTTTATAAAAAGTGTAAAATAATCAACTTTTACAATTGTGGCATCTGATATCTTCTAGTTGCCTACTTACAGTGAAAGCTGCAGTGAGAGGCAGAAAGTGATTTCCTATCCTGCTGTCAATCCTTAAGGGGTGGCATCGTTGCCATTTATAAACAAATATTAACACCCTTCTAAGAATTTCTCCCCAGGGTCATTATTTCTTTTTGAATAGCCCTGATGTAGCATATTATGTCTTTTCTTATGAATTCGATGATGATAATGATTATGGCAATGATCATGATGAGTACACTTTGCTGAAAACTGGTTAACAAAAGCAATTTTTTGTTACTTCCGCCATAAAAAATAATAAAAAGAAAAACAAAAAGATAAAAAAACTGGTACAACTACTTGAATAATTAAAATTATCAACGTCAAATATAATTTTATTGATAGATAACTATCGAAATTACTCAGATATACAATAATTACTGTACAAAAATACTCTGGTTCCTCCAATGTTATAATTTTATTCGTTTAATTGAACTTAACAAAACTCTGTGTTAACTGAAATTTGAATATAATATGAAAAAAAAATTACAAAATCAGAATAAGGAAAAAAGAAAAAAAAACGGATCTAATGACCTTTGAGGGGTTTAGCGATATCTGTGGAAGAGGCATGGACAGTTTTATTTTGTGCCGTACCTTTAGCAGAATTCTGTTTGTTCTTTTCATCATCTTTTTTGTCTCGGTTTGCTGAAAAGAGTTTCAATTGAGTTCATTTTTTTCAGAGTACTTCAAGATAAAAATCTGAAAAATATTCAATTCCATCATAATAAATCAAAGTAAAATGAAAACGTAACTTGTTAAACAAAAAACCATTTAAAATATAAATGATATTCACAACGATGTTCCCTTAAATATGGATCAGAGCAAACTTTGAAGATTCTTTGCAATTTTTTGTGTGAGTTCAGGAATATATTGTAGGTTATTTATGCAAACTCAACGTTTTGAATACCCACATGATATTAATTTTAATTTTTGTTGATTTATTTATTTATACGGGATAACCCCCATTACAATGTAAAAATTTCACAGAAAAAAAGTTCAATATAAAAATGTAAAATATAAACTAATACGCTGCGGAATGTTTCTGCAGCATACAAATTATATAACATTATAAAATACTATAGGATATAGAATTAAAATTAAACTTGTTACTACCTTGTGTAAACAATTACCAAGTGAAATTATTCAATGATTATTTAAAACGATCATAAGAGACACCAAAAATATTTGTTTTTGTCATCTACTAACTTTAGGGTTCTTTCCCAGGGTATATGTTTGCCATAATTTGTATGATGGAATATGAAATAAATGGCTGTGTCTGATTCCTGTTCGGAACATGAATGTTGACAGATTCAAGTAATTCAGGACAAGTTATTAGTCCATTGAGCAGCTTGAATGCATAGCATAGATCTGCATGAAAGAACAAAATCTCAAAAATTTGTTTTGCACTCTTTCTAGAGACACATAGTGCACATTGTAAAATGGAGACCAAATGATACATGCATATTCTAACTTAGACACCACCAGAGCTGATTATTTATGTTGTATGATGTATCGAATTTCCCACCAACTCTTGAGAAAGTAATAAAATGGCATTTATTTACATTAGGAAATGAGTTATTTGTAACACACCATTCATAAACTTTATCTACATCATTTTGATGGAGGATTTGGTCATTGTATGACTTTATGGGTCTAAAAAGCTTCAGATCATCCGCAAACATTAAAAATTCAGTGTTCTCAAAACAGCATCCTATGTCATTCACAAAAATATTGAATAACAAGGGTGAACAATGTGATCCTTGTGGCACTCCAGATATTACTAATATATCACTCGATTTGCATTCTGATATACTGGGATTGGAAATATATGAGTTAATATTCAAACAAAGGTGATCATCAAACTCACCATGAGAATTGTCGTAAACTGTTGACAAATATTCGGCAAAACATTCTGCAATTTGTTCCTTATTTGTTGCAATAGAATTTTCGTAATACATTGTAGATGGCAAACTACCATGAGATTTCTTGTCATTAATAAACTGCCCAAAATATTTTGGATTTGAATTGAGCATGGCATCAACTCCTTGTATGTAATTTTCATAACAAATTTTTGAATGAATTTTGCAAGCACTTCTCAAGTCAGAGAAGACTTGACAATCTTGATCATTCCTGCTAAGCATAACATTTTTGTGGGCTAATTTTTTCTGCTTCACCAGGTATCTTAGATCTGCATTAAACCATTTGGGAAAATTGGACTTTTGAATCTTTTCACAGGTACAAACAAGGCTATTGCCATATTCAAAATGTGATGGAATTCAGTGGTTGCCTCATTTATATCGGCCAAATTTAGGCTAGCATTCCAATTTATGGCATTCAAATAGTTATTGAGACCTTGGTAATCTGCATTTCAAAAGTCACAATAGAATTCTGTGTATTCCAAGTTATGAGTCGTTTCATAATTGAATATAGACGAATCACAACGTCTAACAAATCAAAGTTTCACTTTCAGTGGTCAAGGAAACCCAGTAAGTCGTTGCCTTGAAACCCCGGATTATCAACCCTCTTCCGATATTTTGATTATTGGAGAACCCAACCTGGACACTGAATATTCTCCTATCAATGCATGTAAATAATACGGACAACGAGTTACATGCACATGGTGCATACTATCAAGTCAAGAGTTGAATCTAGTGACCAATATGGTCATTTTAATCATTATCTTTGGTCAATCCATCTATTCAAAAAGACCAATTCCCACCAAGCCTAAATAGTGTGAGGGTACATTAATATCTTGATGCAACCACAGACTATTTGTTTCTAAATAACTAATTAAGTTCCGGTGATGAGCAATTTTGTAGACATTTCAAATCTCAAACATTCAACTTTCATCAGATTTCATTATTTGCAAGAAAATGACATTGTTTTGTGTTTTTTTCACCAAGCTACTCTTACTTTGTTTTTCACACGATAACTTATTCTTTGACAGACAATTTTTGTGGAGGACTCAATATTTCTTATTGTTTTTTTGGGTATATAACCTTCCACAATATGAAAAATAAACAAAGTTGAATCAATAAAGGATCTACTGAAGAGGAATAAAGGCCAAAATTTACTATCAAATGTTACTGCTTAATGTAAATCAGTGAAGAGTCCAATTAGTCAGTGACCTGTCGTATTCTTAAATTTTGCCTACAAATTGAAAAAATCGTTTGAACAAAATTAAATTTCTGTACTTAGGTTTTTTAGTGCTTGACACTTTAGGTTTTTTTTCATTTTCAAAACGTAAAACTCACTTTAAAACTTTCGTTACAATTGTGAATAGCTGTATTTATTTTGACATACATATGTCAAAGTAGATATGTTTTTTGAGATATATAAAGGAATAGTTCAAGTTAAAAGTACATAGACATAAGAACAACAATGTCATTTTATTTTGACGCATATACTTGGCATTTTTACTATCTCATCATCAATATCTATGATGGCCTAACTGACAACAAGAACTTCTTTCATCAAGTTATTGGGGAGTTAAAGATTTTCACTTGTAAATTTTGCAGCATATCTGACAGTTTCAATGTCTGTGAACAATATTTATGGGAACCGTCTAATTTGGAAGATTCACCTTGAATTTCATTCATTTTTTATTCAAGTGAACACAAGCTAAATAACTAAAAATTGAATTGAATATTTTACTGATTTTTTCCTAAATTTCAACCAAAACGAACTGGAATCTGCACAGGAATGAATCTTGACAACAACTACAGTTGAATATGAAAAAAAAAACCCTCAAAATCTGAACTGTCACCATCATCTTCTTCTGCATTTCACCTCGTCTCCCGAAAAACACAAACTCTCTACATTGATCTAAATAATAGAGAATTAAAAAAAGAATCAATTACCCTTACCAGGCTGCTGAGCTATGGCCTGTGAAGGCTGAGGTTGCGTCGAAGATCCGACGGTCCCTCCCGTTGCGGCTTTCTGTTTCAGCATGGTCCAGTCAAAGGTGTAGTCGTATTGGTGATTGAGTGTACGGAAGAGGATTCGGAACAACTGCCGGAGGTACATGTAATCGGGGGCTTCTTCGAAACGCAGGCCGCGGCAGTAGTTCAGGTACATGGAAAATTCAGCAGGAAATCCCTGAGAAACATAATAAACAGTTCGTGATTCAAATGAAAGAAATATTTGGTTTTCTAGATTCATGTGTGCAATCACTGATCAAAAACTCATAATGAAATAGGTTGAAAATTACTTTTAAATCTTACGTCTACAAATCTCCTGAAACTTAAAAAAAATATTTGTCTCTAGAAAAATAAATGACATTTTCAATTGAAACATTGAAAAATAAGATAGAACTGACCGATATTTGATGAAAATCCATTATAACATATAAAAAAACAGTTTAATGTAAGATTTTCACTCGAAACTTTACAAAACCGTGACGTGTTTCGCAACACGAAACTAACCGAAAAAAATATTTTTTTGTTTATGTTTTTATATATATAAATATATTTTTAATTCTGGTGAAATATCGAATATAGTACTGGTAGTAATTTATTAATGCAACAGACACTACAATGTATATATAGCATACGTCATAAAAGAAGGTACAACATAGTTAAAAATCACAGAACTTCTCTAAGTAAAATACATGAATAAAATCAAGTCAAAACGAAATACAAACACAGCTTGAGCTGTGTCTATTTCTAAAACTTACTTTACATACAAACACATATACACAGTCATCATTTTACGGAACATAGACGTATATATGCAGAAATATAATAGAATATGGAATTGAACATTAATGGTTTTGCACACACTTAACAGAAGAATTTTGCAACAAGCATGGCGAGCATGTTCAAAATTGCATAGGAAAACGCCTGACATGTTTAGTATACTCAGAAACCGAATAAAAACAATGTTGCAGAAGAAATATTTTAAATTTTTTTCTTGAATGAAAATGAGCTGAGTATACAAGGTGTAACTGAATAAGTGTAAAACATTTAAGGAGGTGATTCCTCATCAAAAAAAAAGATAGGATCTTTCATATAAAGAAATTTCATTGGAGCATCCCTTGTTAAGNGGGAAACAGAAACCACATTAAGTTCACTTGTTTTGTATTGTAGCCATGTATTTGAGATTGTCTAGTCAACATACTTATTTTTACATGTATTCCTCTCAGAGAATGTTCGATGAATGTTGACGGAAGCGTTAGTATACTGAATTGAACAAAGAGAAGGCGGCAAAGGGAGTGTACCGGTCTTCAAGGATGTGATTTTTCCTGATACCACATTTAATGTGGTCCGGGTATATTGAAAATGTCTTTGAAATTAAGTATTATATAAAGTATTGAGGTATTATAAGAAGTAGTATATGAAGTATTAAAGTATTATATGATTTGAACGAGTCACCTTGCTTTGACAGAAACACTGCACTTACCTTGCAAAGTACTTCAACGGGTGTGGACATTTTCTTTTCGCTAATTTTTTCGTATTTTTGCTTTTTTGTGGCAGCTTTTAGACCTTGCCAAGGTAAACAGCCCCTGTTGAAGTACATCAGGACATATCCTAGAGATTCCATGTCATCCCTACGTGACTGTTCTATTCCGAGATGGGCATTAATGGAAGCATATCTAGCAGTACCTATTAATAATAAACATAATAATTTTAATTTTCAACTTTTCGGAAGAAATAAATAAGTTAAGATTAACTCAAAGGAACAATACTTCAGGTGTGGACGGACCAGTGAACGATAAATAGCTTTAATAGCAGTTGGATCATGAATTCGAAGGTTAGCCTTTGATAAACCCTATGGCTTTTTGGATAGGCGTGGGTATTTGTTGATTGAAGCTTAATGTGGCATCAATGATTATATTGATAAAAATAAACACATCAGTCATTTCTGAGAATTAATTAAGTGCCTACTTTTTTGGAATTATAGTATATGAGGTCCTTTTCTTGTGGTTGCACTCAGTTATGTATTTGCTCAATGTTATATTCATCACACTTTTGACAGTGTCCCTTCAAGACAGTGTTTTCTTCAAGACAACTGTGTTCAGAAGGTAAACTTCAAAAATATGAAATAAGACAAGACGAAAATTGAAAGTAGGGTACCCCAGGGATCTGTCCTTGATCCTTTACTCTTTTAATTGTATATTAATGACATTCATGCTATAGTACAATTCCATAATAGTAGGCACACATTTCTCAGAAATATTATTTTCAAGGATAAAAAAGTTCTAAAACTTTATTGCACGCTCCGTAATTTAAATCAACCACGGCTGTGCAACTGCACGCGATTAGTCTTTGAAAACTTAATGGAAACTGTTGAATTCTAAATGGCAAGTTCCGAGGTGAAAATATATTAATACCACGAATCGTTCAGATGTGCCAATTCATTTTAAACATTTGAAATTCCAATTATATTGGTATTTGCAATGACTATTGGTAAATTCCAAGGTCAAGCAATGTTCGTTTGTGGCTTGGATTTAGAGACACCATGTTTTTCACACGGACAATTATACAATGCATGCTCTCAAGAGGGCAAACCATCCAGTTTGTTTCTGTCAGCTAAACATAAACTAACGAAAAATATTGTACATGTAGTTCATGTGACAAAACGTTTGCAGGGTCAGCTAGTATAGTATAATATTGACATAATTATTGCATTCAGTTCTATTTTACTTACCTGTCAAATTCTTATCTTCACGATATCCGATATGCATTCGAGTTCTGGCATCACGGAACTTTTTCGCCAGTCCAAAGTCAATGAGGAACAGTTTGTTGCAATGGCGGCCGATGCCCATGAGGAAGTTGTCCGGTTTAATGTCTCTGTGAATGAACGATTTGCAGTGAACGTACTCGATGCGTCCTATCATTTGATCGGCTAACATCAGAACTGTCTTGATGGTGAATCGACGGGAACAGAAATTGAAGAGGTCTTCCAGCGATGGACCCAGAAGGTCCATCACTAGGACGTTATGCTCTTTCTCTTGGCCATAGAATCTGAAACGAAACATGTTATAATAAAGTATAAATTATTTCGGAGTTAAAAATGGTCTACTTTTTTTTTTTTACTTTGTGTTTTTTCCTTTTATATCTTCAAAGAGTGATATGATGTGCCAATGTAGAAATGCAACCCGAAAACGAATCCATTGTTAAATCAGGTTATTTCTAGGAAAAATGTTGATTATTGAACTAAAAAGTGTCAAAGGAGGAGGAGTGGGGGGAATAAGGTGTGAATGTGATGTGAAGAATAAATACTTGTGATTCTATGGTTTGTATTGTGCAAAAGAAAGTTGAAAAGTTTCGGAACTTTTGAGGGTTGTAACTTTTGAAATACTAAGTAAGCACAATTTTTTCACTATTTTTTTCAACACCTAGTAACGCCAACATGATAGATCTATTAACAAAAAATACAGTATATATTTGCAATATCAAACATTTAGACAACATTATTCTGCAATATTCAATTAAGTTTGTATATATTTTGCAATATCAAACATTTAGACAACATTATTCTGCAATACTCAATTTAGTTTCAAGCAGTTCAACTATAAATTCCTCATCCCGCTGGTCCAATGATAAGGAGAATCATCGCATCCGTTATTACTCAGAAGAAAACAGCAGTGGCAAACTTATCTTCAATAGCTACAACAAAATTAGTCAAAACCCTTGGGCTCAATGGGTTGAAAATATTGGCAACACCTGTTTCATGAACATTGTAATTCAATGTTTATCAAACATGAGAATATTAAAAAAAAGAATGAATACATGAAAGATATCAATATGGGGGATGCTTTATTCAAAGCATTCGCAGAAGTTATCAAGGAATTGTGGTTAGAAGATTCATCTGATAGAGGAGTGAACAAAGTCTTCTTAAAAAGTCAGATTCAAAGTTATGCCCCTCGATTCATGGGTCATGCGCATCAAGACGCCCAGGAGTTCCTTCGTTATCGTTTAGAAGGTTTACATGATGACGTTAATAGAATTAATGAGAAATCTAAACCGACCTTAACGGAGAATGACGAAAAAATGAGTGACAGAAAAAAGCACAAGAGTCATGGCTGAGATATACGAGTATAGATAACTCTTAGATTGTAGATAATTTCGTTGGTCAATTTAAATCCACTATGAAGTACACATATTGTGGACACTCATCAGTAACCATCGATCCTGTCTGGGATTTGTCACTCCCCATATCTCTCACTCCCAAATTCAGTTTGTCACAATGCTTGGATTCCTTCACAAGAGAAAAAACTTTGGATGGACATGAAAACCCGACGGTGTTTCCTCTAGATGGATTATGCAACTGATTATATGACTCCTTGTCGTTATAATCTATATGCACTTTTGAATCACAGTGGGTCTACTTACAGTGGACATTACACAGCATACTGCAGACATCCCTACATGTGGCACGTATACAATGATTTACACGTGTCAACAATTTCACTACAATCGCCTGTGAGTAGAGAGGCACCCATCTTCTTTTATGAAATTATTGAATGTTGTTTGGTCATGCATTTGGCAGCCCAATTCTGTTTGGGTATATTTATTTCAATAGATGAAAAATAATATGCGATATTTTTATATTAACCTTCAACCTGTAATGAGTCCAATAAAACCGCATTCAAAAATTCATGGGTGAAACCCAATTTAAATGCCTAGTTCAAGTGTTTACTATGCAAATACTTCTCACTTCACACACTATACTCTCAAAAAACTAACACAACAGTATTTTAAGAATCATTAATGAATTTTTTATCAAGTATATTGTGGTAATAAATTGGTAAAGAAACTTTTGAGCATATTAATTGTTACTTATGCATATCAACATATTTATCATTTCAGATTCCAAATAGAATTTATTTTATTTCAATCCTCTACTGGGAGTTACTATTTTTTTATTGTCACCACGTAACTTGGCTGATACGCATCACAAGATTTGCTGGTGCTTTTGAAGGTTGTTCATTTGGAATTAATTTCAGGAATAACATTGCACATAACACATTTATTTTATTTTTATTCAATCAATATGAGAACAAAGATTATAATCAGAAATTAGATTTTTGGATAAGATAGTTTGTTTTTCATACCTTGAAATGCCATTTTCTTTTAACAATCTTCAAAATAGGAGTGCCATGATCAAAATGTTTAATGATTTCAGAGAAAAGTAACATTATCTTTAGAAGATGAGATTGAGCAGATATGACACAATAATCATAACAATAAGACTATTTTTATAATTAATCCTTCAATTTGCACAAAAAAACTAATTGCAGTTTGTCAGAATACAAAATTTCACAAATTAAGTTGTGTATGCAGTTTTTCAGTAGATCATTACTGAAGATGTAAGCTATTGTACAAACTATTAACATTAATGTTAATTCATTTTATCTGAAATGGCAAAAACATTTCATATCGAAAATACAGAATTCTTTGAAGGAATATTATATTGATGTTTCAAGAAAGAAAGATAATCATTGTTTCAAGAAGGATAATAATGTTTGGAAGGAATTAATACAAGTGTTTTGAAAACTTAACAAGAGATAAAACTGAATATTTTCAGCTGAGATTCTATTGTAGTAATACCAAGTTAAAAAAAAGTATTTATTTTCAGCTGAGATTCTATTGTAGTAATACCAAGTTAAAAAAAATTATTTATCATTTTCACTCTTCATAAATGAGTGACAATCACTTCTTGGTCTTGGCAATGAAAGGCCATGAAGCTATTAATAGAAATAATCCAAGGCAACTGATGTGAAGTTAGATAGTCCTGTATATAAATATAAGAGGGTTAAATGAATACATTTAAAAATAGGAAATCAACCGGTCAACTTCGAAATTATGAATTATTCATAAAACCGCTCTTAGTTAACATAAGATAAAAAATATAGGAACATAATTAAACTCCATTTGAGAGGAAAAACAAATGTTCAACTGCAATTAAAATCTTAATTAGTCTGTTACATCAATAGAAATACTAAATTTTTCATTGTCTTACAGACCAAGTGTGAATCTGCTTAACTATTTTTTTACAAAATAATTTACAAATTCACACATATGCACTGTAACCTACAACTATCAGCCAGGTGTTAGAAAAAATTATATAAAAAAGGCAGGCAAAAATAAGCCAATAAATTACAATATTTTCAGTCTTTTTGAATGATTTCAAATAAGAATTAAACGGTCTAAATCTACATTGTATGTGTGCAAGTCTCAAAATTCTACCTTTTAGGTTCGTTCCAACCTCGAGTCACCAACAGATTTCCAAAAGTTTGTAAATCGTTGTCGACGTGCATGCCTGGTAGATATTGGTTTCTGATTAATTTTAAAATTTCTGATTGGAATTTCAACATAACCTTTAAAAATGAATCTAATCAAGTGTATTTCTGGAGAGTAGTAGTAGTAGTAGACTTTATTTTGGGAATCCTAATATACAATATATAGTTATGCATATATGAATAATTTATATACGTATATAATTTTACAGTGCGTCATGTATTACAATTTGATATATTCTAATAATAACTTTTTTAATACTTTTAAGGAATTTACATGTTTTATTTCATCAGGTAACTTNACATATATAGCTATAACATTTAAACATTACATAAGGACATATTGTAAAATAATAGATAAGGCTTATTGTAAAATTAATTTAGGGTGGTGTACCTGTATGGTTGATATACCTGTATGGTTTACCTGTATGATATATCTGTATAGTATAAATAGCTCTAGTTTCGCGAAGTTTCCAGTTTTATCTTCCTCTTGAAGATGATCACTTGGTGATCGAAACACATGTCGAGGTGTTAAAAATAACGATTTGGTGTTGGGAAGAAACTCCAGTAATATTCTAAAAAATGCATTGAAAAACATTTCTCATTTTAGTTATTTTATTCAATTCAATCAATCAGGTAGGTAGAAACGATATATTTAAAGAAGAACTGTCATTTCAATGATTGAGTTTGACATTTGAGAATATATTCTGAATAACGTTAAATTTTATGGCTTACTTGCTATTGAAAATAATTGAAATACGACTGTTATGAATTCGCTCATCTGTGATTGGCCATGAAGGTAGAGATTTATGAATTTGGTCAACTGCGACTGGTTCGAAGGTGTGAGTTATGAATCATTTTGCCTACTCACCCAAGTGAATTGGTCACATAATTAACACTTTTATCAACAATCATAAAAGAACAATATTTCCGTTTCTTTTGAGAAGAATTCAATACCTCTAATTTGGCAAAATTTCACATCAAATGCTAATTGCTTACTCAAATTCATTAGTATGATGAAAAAAACTGAAAATCACAATTCTTTCTAGCGTGTTCTGGATGTATATAAATATATGATGAACAGTAACATAGTTTTCAAGTAATATTTGAAGATTTTTATCCAATGAAGAAAATAAATGAAATATAGCCTCAATGTTGGGGAGCTTCAAAGAGTTGTGGAATTTATTTTGAATCTAATAGTGCTCGGAGCAACAGAAAACCATATACTTTAAAAAAAAAAACACTAGTCCTATCAAAATATAAATTATTTCCCATAAAATATTAGAGAATTTGGTAAATTGACATGTGACAAAAATTACAACTTTCATTTGTGATTTAATTATTCTGCATATGAATTCATCTCAAGATATTTCAATATCAGGAAATACATGAGAAACACATAAATTTCAAAAGCAAATAAGTCCGTATCTGATATCCGTATTGCATGGTTTTAGGTGTGAGAATGATTTCCAGCCTCAGAATATCTGATGATTCATCTCGTTCTAACCATCGTTCCACTCAGATTCGTAAAATACAAAATACAGGAGCGTAAAGTACTCTAAGAGTCAGTGGCCACGAAATTTGCCAACATATTATTGACATCTTGATATTTGTTACAGGTTTGAATATTTCCATAGGATGACTATTCTATTTCATTATGACACTTATAAGTTCATAACAGCAAAATTCGAACATCAAATAAATATGCCCTTAAATGGATATTGAGAACAGAAATACAATGACAGCCAAGAGAATGTACCCACTGACATTTATTGTCCAGGAATAAAAATGTGCTAAATTCAAAATACTTCTCACCTGATATGTGGTATTCCTATTCCTCCATGTAGAATTTTATATAGTTTACTTTCATATAATAGTTGTGGATGTCTTGCTCTAATTGATTCAAGTTTCACTGCTACTTCCTACAAAAAAACAAGGATAACAATTTTCTCCTTCAAGGACCTTGAAAATAGACAACATTCAAGGATTTGAGATTACAAAGATATTTAAAGAAAACAATAAGTAGTTAATAATTTCTGTCTGTGTAAAATATGTACTGATTTGAAGTAGTCCCAGGACATATCGAAATGTTTCAGAAAATTTACAGATGGTGAAATAATCAAGGCCCAGAACAAAAATTGTGAAATGTGTTGTGATCACATCCTGCTGGTGTAACCTACTTTTTAATTGTGGCAAAATAATATAGGAACATTGATCAGAACTCAAGGATTACTTATTTTAGCCACAAAAATGTTGTAAACATGTTTGTTATCCGTTCAACGTACTGCGAAATTCAATATTTCAAACGTAAATAAAGGACAGAATTGAGAAAGATATGGCTGCCATTTGCTAAATGAATGTGTCAAACGAGATGTTACATGTTAAACAAAGGGCAATCCCTAAATATATAAAGGAAACTACCAACCCTACAACTACTTAAAACAATTAAATAAAAAACAGTACAATACCTCTCCATTTGTGATATTTATACCCAAATAAATGTCACCAAAAGATCCACTTCCGATTTTACGAACTAAACGATATTTTCCACCGACTATATATTCCGGCTTCCCGATACCAACAACATGAGCAGCCATTTCAACAATTTAAAAAGGTCTATTAGAAAATAGTTTATTAATTTTGAATAACGGAAAACCAATATTTTTTACAATAACACTATCACTTGTTCCTCCTAGCACGCCGACATATTTCTTTGACTGACTGATCGTTTTTTGACGTCACTGAACTCCGTCAGTGGCGATATCTAGCAATAACTTTGGTAACTGAGACAGAAAATAAATTGAATGTTCTATGACTGAAAAACGGTAATTTCCAAGTGAATAGGAATAAAAAATCGTGTATGTTTATTCCAATATTCGTATTTTTATTGTGGATTGTAATTTGTAAAATAACCGTCTCATTAGGCGTTCATACTTGCACGGAACATTTTTGCGAAAAGGTTGTCTGCTGTCAGCTGTCGTTTTCATTCAATAATAATCGTTTTAATAGTTCCAAGTTCATACTGATCCGAATTGTCCAAAATCCAAAATCAAAAGATTTACTCGACAAATTTTTACAATTTCTGACAATAAAACCGTAAGAGCCATAGGCATAGTTAACAATAAAATTGATGTGATTATAAAAAGTAAGTTGATAGTCAAAATGGACACCTAGATCCCTGACAGTTTTAGTACTATCAGAGATAGTTTCATCGATATTTGTGTGCAAATTATATTGTATTACATTTTCTGATAAATGATACAATTTTGCACTCAGAAATATTCATATTGAGACGGTTTTTGTTTTGTTACAATCTAGCACAGTCATCTATATCGGTGACAAGTGACAGAGGTGTATTATTAAGTGTTGCCTAAATAATTTATGGATCGTATGAAAAGTAATGGCCCAAAATTAGATTCTTGGGGGACTCCACTAGTGGCAAAATAAATATTTGAAGAGAAACCATTATAGTAGACATACTGCTTTCTTTGATCAATATATGGTCAGATGAATATATAGTTCATTGAAACGCATACCAGAAAGTTTGTGACAAAACAAGTTACTGATTGTAGTTTTATATAATTCATGAAACAATGTTGATGATCGCAAATATTTTTGGTTGACAGGTAATTGCGGTTTTACAAGAGTTGTTGAGAACGTTACGATCATGCGCTTCACGAATTGAATAAACTTTAGAAAAAATGGTGAAGTCTTTCGCGGCCGTGGTTTTCAGTGTCACTATTTTTCGAGTTTGAAGCCGCAGATTTTTGAATTATTTCCTGACGTTTCACTGAAGCGAATGGCTAGCTTCTCCATAGGTTTATACATCTTGAGTCAATATCTCCGATGACTGGATATTACGGTTGGGTAACGCGTATTTATATTAACTTCTCAGGTAGTTTGGTGTGCTAATACCTGGTCTCGATGGAAAATCTTCAAGTTACCTTGAGATCTTATGGATACAGTGTACCCGAGATCAACAAAGCCATGAAACTGAAGAGTTCTACTGCTCAAAACGAGGAGAAGGCTCAGATGATTGTACGCGCATATCTTCCTCATATCCCTAGGGTCACGGATAGAATTGTAAAATTCTTGGGAAAACCCAACATTGAAACGGTTTTTAAACCCACCAAGAAGAAACAACAAAGCCTCAGGTCGGATAAAGACATAAGGGACCCATTTTCAGCAGCAAGGTGTTTATCGCACACCGTGCACTTGTGGAAAAGTATACATCGGAACCACCGAAAGATCCATGGGAACAACGTTGAAGGAGCGTGAAAGAAACTAAAGACTAGGCCAAACGAGCACGTCAGCTGTGGTAGAACACGCACTTGGTGAAGGAAACTGCTGGATTCCGTTTGCCCCCAACCAGGGATACCATAGCCGATTGATACGGAAGGCAACAGAAATCTACAAACATATGGATAATTTCAACAGAAAAAAAGAAGCTGTGAACCTCAATCGAATATGGGATCTCATTCTAAGAAGTTCAAGAATAGCAAACAGCATGACGCCAGGTAGAAAAAGGTCAACAGATGTTTTTGACAATTTACCTCATCCAGGTGCAGGTGTCATCACACCGGACTACCTGAATCAACATAAACACTCNCTTAAGTGCATCAATTCCTGTTAATCGTTTTTGTTGGTCTTGATCACGAATAATGATGAAAGGTCGACCATATTCGTCAAAAGCAATACTTCCTGGAAAACTAGACATTGTCTGACTCAAGAATTACTAGTGTATAAAAGAGATGAATCTGGATTTTTAATAATTTTTAGACTTTTATTACAAAACTCACAACCCAAACATAGCCGACACCAAAGACAACTGACACGTGACGTTTGGCGTATATGAGTCAGTGAGTCACATGACATGAGGCATGTTTTCTCAATAGAAAGTTTTAGAAATCATTTGAAAGTTTTTATTTTTACGTCATCAACTATCGAAATGTCACATGAAAAATAAAATGAGTGCATATTATACCCTTCATAAAGATCAATCAAAAACCCTCATTGATTTTTTCATATACTATGATAAAAATACCAGAGTAGAAAAATCTAAATTAACGATTTCAATTCCACGATTTATATATTTATTAAAACAACGATAAAAATAAAAACAACAATAAAAATTAATTAAAAAATTAAAAAGGTTCCACGGAAACAAATACATACTCATTTTCCAATTTCATTAAAATTAGTATTCGAGTTACTATTGTATCATTTTGAATAGCACTCTCAAATAATTTTTCAAAAATTATTACAGAAAATTCCGTTTCTGAAGGCTTAAAAATAATGTTGATTTCCTGGAAAATAACCAGGATACATTTCCATGGTAATGAGAGCACTGAGATGATTTCAGCAAATCCTTGATAATGAATTATGGAACAATGACAGATGTGAAAGGATTGCTTGTATAATAGCATTTCGAAACAATTTAAAATTGATTTCTATAATGTAAATGTAAATAACGCATCTAATTTCAATAAATGTGTGTGACGGTTTTTCCGACTCTATATAAGAATTGCAATTATCAAGGTCCCTTCATTCTAGTGTAAAGTTTCAGTTTTTTCTTAGCCATCATGAACTTCCTGGTGAGTTTCTATTACAACAAATAGGCGAATCAACAATATTCATTTGGATATATAAGGTTTCTATCATTTTTTGACACCATTATGTAACTATATTAAAATAGCTACTGCTTTTTTTTGTAGATATTTTTTGGAAAACCGATTTAGGATATGAATGACGATAAAACACTTTTTACTGAATGATTTATTCACTAAAATTACAGTATCAGTAGAGTCGAACTATTTTGGAAAATATACTTATCTATTTTTTTGAAAACAAAAAAATGTTTCACTTTCTAAACAAAATAATTTTATTGTGAGTACCTCTTAACGAACATTCTCTCAGGTTATTCGAAAACAAACAATTTCCGGTAGTATATTTAGATGAAAAGATCGATATTTAGTAGATAACATTAACAAGATCATCATAATTTNACTGTGGCTGCTCATCGTTTTGAGGTTCAACTCAGTACACCTCGATCTTCACTGTTTAAGAACTCTTTCATTTGGAGAACTGCGTAGATGTGGAATGAACTTCCTGAGAACGTTTTTCCAAATGAATTTAATCTGTAGTGATTCAAATCCAACGTGAATCGCTACTTTCGCATAGACACCGCTCTCAGAGTGCCTTAAGGGTTTCCTTGTAGTGCTTGTCGTTTTGTCCCTAAAAAAGCTAATCATGTGTTTTTATATTTCTTTTTCCTCGTGTGACTTACCTACTTGTACACATAAATAAATAAATGAATAAAATAAGTAAATAAGTAACCCACAGATGTTTCTCGTTCATTTGCAGCAAGACCATGCTGAAACAAATCGAGTATATCACCCACAGATCAAATTATTACCTCGAAACTGGTCTGTACATCCCACTTAAACATCAGTGTGCTTGAGACTCGGTTTACTTCAACGCCGCTCCACTGCAAGTATGAAATCTTCGTCTAAGAGGAAGATTGTTCCTAGTTCCATCTCGCGAACAAAGCCCCAAGCGGAAGGTTTATTTCGAAGAGGATTTTATTTCGGAATATTTATTTTCTTATATTTAAGACCTGTATTATGCAAAAATGTAAACTTGACTGTCTGTTTTCACTGGATTAAGATTTCTATTAGTTAGTTTTTTTAGTATCCATGTCTTTAGTATCTCATAATGTGGCAGATATATTTTAACTACCTGATTTTTATGTCATGTGAAATATTTTCAGGTCGTCAGCACTTTCATTGCTCTGATAGTATCTGCTACCTGTGTTCCTTTGCTGGTTCCAACTGTATCAGAGGAAAAGTCTCTAGAAAGGAAACTCAAAATGTGAGTCTTATATTGAGTATAATGGATATATGTGGTTGAATTGGCAGACACTTGATGCAAATCCAAAAATTATTCAAGTAACACTGATTAGTTTTCTTCATCTACGTCGAAGGTTTCAGTTTACCACTTTATTGATGCTAACTAATGTTGTTTTGGTTGAAAGAAACACTAGAAAGCAAATTACTTATTGTTAAGTATCGTAACGTTAGAAGAAACAATCAATCAAACCTACTGCGCCGATTCGTATCTACGTGCATACCGTAAATTACTATGTTTCTTTCAAAATTATTTTGAATACCTATTTTTCAATGAATTGTTTAGATTTTAGCAGAATTTCAATATTCTATTGAACTATGGTGAATTGTCTATTTTTTAAAAGCTTTCTCAATTGACCGCGAACAATTTTGGAGGAGGAAGTTATGATCCCTGTGACCAACTGAAATAATAATAATAATTTTCATTTATCTCAAATGTACATTAACAGAATACAATAGGAAGAATAAGACATTGAGTGGTAAATAAGTACATACAACCCAACAAGGCAAGCCTTGGTAGTAAAACTAATCTGTAACTAAATATGGTATGGTGAAGAATTATGAAATATTTTTATATAAGAGCAGACAAAATCAAAAGCGATGCGTATAATTAGGCTAATCGGGGATCTGGTCAAATTAGATGAAATATCAAAAGGGGACCAGTGAAAATTGTCTTTATAGATATAGAATCTCGATATCATATCAGGTAAATTAAAAGGAATATGAAAATAAAATATGAAGTATAAAATACACACATCGGAAAAGTCTAGGGATATTTTTATAACATACTAAATATCATAAAAATAAATGCATGAGGCCGTTTAATTTCGATTAAATTGGT